CAGACCGGACCGGCTGCAGACCGGACCGGCTCAGACCGGACCGGCTGCAGACCGGACCGGCTGCAGACCGGACCGGCTCAGACCGGACCGGCTGCAGACCGGACCGGCTCAGACCGGACCGGACCGGCTGCAGAGCGGACCGGACCGGCTGCAGACCGGACCGGCTCAGACCGGACCGGACCGGCTCAGACCGGATCGGACCGGCTGCTGATTGGACCGGACCGGCTCAGACCGGATCGGACCGGCTGCTGATTGGACCGGACCGGCTGCAGAGCGGACCGGACCGGCTCAGACCGGACCGGACCGGCTGCTGATTGGACCGGACCTGCTGCAGACCAGACCGGACCGGCTGCAGAGGAACCAGGATGTTCATCGTTTCCTCAGACTCTCTGCTCTCTTCCTCTTGTCTCTTCGTTTCTCGGCCTTCCTGTTCCTCTGCAGCTTTTCTGCATCGTCTCTATTTGCTGCATCAGTTGTTCGTTGATCGGTTCTGATCGATCAGGTTAAACTTTCAGTTATAGTTTCATCAAAATGAGAATCATTTGTTGCTCTGGACAGTTTGAGTCTCCTGCCTCCTTATTGTTTAATTTCATATTCTTTTATCTGTGTTAAAATAATTCTTACAAACATTTAAGGTAATTATTAAAATTATTTTAAAGAAGTTAATTAAAAGAATTATGTGTATTAAAATAATAAATTTGTTTTATTGGAATAACTTTTAAAGATAATTTTAACGGTTATTCAACTAACAAATGCTAGTTAAAAATTATTGTAATTAATATTTTTATGAAAAATTAATAAGAATTATTGTACTGTAATATTACAAATTGTTTAATTAAAAATATAACTGGTTACATTTATTAAAAATTAAAACTGACAACAGATAATCAAAAATATCTAATAAAACCTTATGTCCTAAAATATTTATTAATAATAATAATAATTTTAAATGAGTAATAATAGGAGGATTTGGAGCTGGTTTTGATTTTTGGTCCTGTTATTCTTTTTTTTTTCCTTTTTAAATTTATTTTTTTATTTCTAATTTTTTTTTAAATCTATTTTATCATTTCTCTTCCTACTTTATTTCTTGTTTAACTGAACATGAATAAAATCCAGTCAGGATTTCTTCCTCCCCTCCTCTTCCTCGCTCTCTGTCGCCCACCTCAGGCGTCCTGAGAGCCTCCAATCAATCGGCGTCTGAGAGGCTTTTATTTTTAGAGCCAGGTGGGGGGCAGGAGCGGGAGGGGCAGGTTTACAGGTAGAAGAAAAAGGTTCAAATAATAACCTGAAAGAAACGACCCAGCAGAGGGATGTGGGCTGGAGAGACGAGTTGAGAGGATTAAAGGTTTTAAAGATGGAGGAAGAAATGAGAGCAGAGAGGAAGAGGAGGAGGAAGAGGAGAGACAGAGGGATGAAGATGTGACTCTTCATCAGAGCCGGAGGAGGAAAACAAAGCAAAGTGTGGATGAGCCTCTCGACCGGCAGCAAATGAGACCTTAAGAGTTTGTCAGAATCCCGTCGCCTTGGCAACGAGTCCCTCAGCAGCATTCTGCCGGTCGGCGCGGCAACAGTCGGCGGGGGCAACCTTTCCATTAGCATCTGGAAAGTTCTGCACGCTGCAAAAAATGACAGTTAGAAAGATGAAAAGATCCACAGTTAGGAAGATATCATCTTCATCAGTCATCATCTTCATCAGTTATCTTCATCCATCCCAGGTGAAGGTGATGAGTGTGATGAAGGTGATGAGAGTGATGAAGGTGAGGAGGCCGGGGCCCGGGACCTTCTGACTCTGTCACTAACATGTGTTCAGACAGAAAGCTGGGTAGAAGTACGACACACTGCCACCTGCAGGTTGGAGTTAGAATCACATGAACTTCATGTTAAACTTAATGAACATTTTGAGGGACCGACCCGGATAAGTGGAAGAAAATGGATGGAATTTCAAAATGTTTTTTTTAATGTGGGTTTCTGTTGATTTGGGGTTAACTTTTCTTGTGGTGCCGATCTGCATCCCACTGAGGTCCAGGCCTCAGGTCATGTGACCTCAGGTCATGTGGCCTCAGTCCAGGTGCATCATGGGAGTGATGAGGAAGCAGCAGCTTTGCGGTTTCTGATGTGTCAGAGTTTTATTATCTCAGGATGTGATCTTTTACAGTGTGGCCCCCCTCCCCGCCCCCCTGCTCTCGTCCCACAATAATCACAGGTGGTAACCCGCGGCGACGAGCTGATTTCAGCTCTGAGTGACGGCCGCCGGTCGCCCCCTCACATTAAACCGATCTGTTCTTTACACACATCTTTCCCTTCGTTGTTCTCCACCTGCCCCCCAAACCTTCATCCTCCCCCTCCTCCTCTTCCTCCCACTCAGACAGAGGAAGGAAGCCCTTAAATGGGTTTAATGTTGCTTCATTTAGAACCTCGGCAGCAGGGAGTTTTCTTCCATTCGGTAAAATCGCTGTTAAATCAACCTTCGTTTTGACACGAAATGAGCACGGTGTTGCCATGGCGATATAGAGGAACTCACTTGACCCACTCAGATGATGAGGGGAAGTGGGAGCCAGATGATTAGACGCCGGCTCCAGGCGTCACTCTGCTTCAGCAGGAATCACTGGATGTTTAACACCAAACAGCCTGGGGGCTCGGTGGTGGCAGCCTCATGCTGTGGGCTTCAGCTTTTCACTCAGTTTTGTTGTTTTTGTTTCCAGGCCACCTTTAAGGGCTGGATGGACATCATGTACGCCGCCGTGGACTCCAGAGCCGTAAGTCAGCGCTGATCTCCGATCTGAACGCCGACTCAGCAGCCGGGGGCTCAAACCGCGGGCCGGGGGCCTCCTGAGGCCCTCAAAGGGATCCTGGGCGGCCCTTAACTGAGGAATCAGTTAATGCAGAGACATATTTAGTAACAATGTTGGGGTGAAATTCTCACTGACATGAGGACTTCCAAAACAAACACAGTTAAACTGGAAAACGAAGTTTTTATTTTGAATTTTATCATTTTAATAGTAAAAGGTACAACAAACATCCAGTTATCATCCAGAGCCAAATTCTACCTGCATTTTAATTTGAAAAAGTTTAGACATCCTAAATTTAAACTTTTAGGATACAGTTTGTAGTTTTAATCTGGCAAACCTGCAAAACGCTTTTTATGTTTAACTCTGCAGTGATTCCCAGATCCCTCTCTGAATCTGCTTCACTTATTTCATAACTGAACAGGTAAAAATAAAAATTTAAAACGTTTTGGAATTGAAATAAATAGAAAAGTTCAGAGAAGTAGATCTAGCGGGACGTTTTCGGCCCCGGCTCCTGATTGGTCGGCTGCAGGTGAACTGTTTCTTTAAGCTGCTGGTTTCGTGCTGCAGACGGACGAGCAGCCGATCAAGGAGATCAACCTCTACATGTACCTGTACTTCGTCATCTTCATCATCTTCGGCTCCTTCTTCACCCTCAACCTCTTCATCGGAGTCATCATCGACAACTTCAACCAGCAGAAACGAAAGATAAGCATCAAGCCAAACACGATCTGGTTCCTCCGTCGATGACCTGAGGATTCGTTTCATTCTGATTGTTTGTTTGTTTCAGTAAAAATAACTGAATTATTTTTGTGTATTGTAATTAGGAGGGCAGGACATCTTCATGACGGAGGAGCAGAAGAAATATTACAACGCCATGAAGAAACTGGGATCCAAGAAGCCCCAGAAGCCCATCCCCCGACCCCTGGTACCAGCAGCACCTTCACAATAAAAGCACAAGCTCTGGCTCATATGTTCAGAATGGAGAAAATAAATATTTTCCATTTTCCCTGCTGAGAATGAATATGAAGGTCTGTGACCTTCATCATAGGTCTACCTCAGCTGGTAATCTGAAGATAATCCAGTAAATTAGTTTGATTTTAAATAATTAGCATGTTATTAGCTGAAATGCTACGCTAGCTTCAGGAACAAAGCAGCCAGATGAATTTGAGCCAATCAGAACGTTGATCAGTAATGTTTCAATCAGTTATTTTAATTTCTATTTAAGAACAGAAAACATTTTAGGTTTGAAAAAATGTCTGATTAAAAGATTTATCAGATTATTTTTTATATTTTTGGATTATTTTTCATCAACTTTCTGAGGCTCCCTGGCGCCCTCTGGTGGACCTAAGTCTGAAAAACACTGAACAGACACTGATTGAAATGATTCACTGCAAAAACACAAAATCTGACCAGGTATTGTTTTAGTTTCTACTGTAAATGTCTTAGGAAAATTATCACAAAAGTAACTTTTCAGCAAGAAATATGAGTTTGTTTTAAGTTAATAATTAATTCATATTAATGAAAAAATTCTACATATTTCACATTTTATCAAGACATTTTTCCCAACTGTGCAACAGAACTAGGACATTTTCTGCAATAAATGAATTTAGTTAATAACAGTCACACTTTGTGATTTTCTGTTTTGGATTCAGTTTCTCACAGCTGAGGTTTTCCTACGATGGAGATCAGAGCAAATATGCTGTGCCTCAGAAAAGTCTTCATAACCTTTGACCTTTTCCACTCTGTCACGTTTCGACTGATGCTTAAAGAATCTGAAATTAATCTTTATTTTGAAAGTTTCTTCTGTCCAATTAAAGTTCAGAGTTTAGTTTGGGTAAAATCTCCTGTAGTTGTTTTGACCATCATAACTCAGCTGGGTTTGATCTTCATTAACCGATCCGAACCGATCCGAACGGGTCAGAACCAGGAAGCTGGTGCTGAATGGATCCGTTCTCTGTCTGCTTCTGCAGAACGACCTGCAGGGCTTCTTCTTCGACCTGGTGGGGAAGCAGGCCTTCGACATCATCATCATGGTTCTGATCCTCCTCAACATGATCACCATGATGGTGGAGACGGACGAGCAGTCGCCGCAGATGGAGAAGATCCTCTACTACGTCAACCTGGCCTTCATCGTCATCTTCACCACCGAGTGCAGCATCAAGATCATGGCGCTGCGCTGCTACTTCTTCACCGTCGGCTGGAACATCTTCGACTTCGTGGTCGTCATCCTCTCCATCGTCGGTGAGCGCTGCCGCTCTAGTCCTTGTGCTCAGGCAGCTGATGGGGCCAGAAAACCAGATCAACCTCAGGAGGAGAACATCACCTGACCGTTTAGCTTTATTCATTCTTTATGGAAATTCAGTTTAATTTAAAAGTATTAACTGGTTCCTTTCCATTTTTAGTCAAAGTTACTAAGAGCTGTTGTTGAGGGTTTCTTCAGGAAATAATTGTTGCTGTATAACAAGCCCACATCACCAGTCCTCCACCACCATGCCTGACTTTTGGTATGAAGTGTTTGCAGGGCTTCTGCAGGTTTCACCAACACAAATTTAAGATTTTTTAAGACTTTGTAAGGCCGTTATGAATGGAATTTAAAACCTGCATCACGACAGAAACACAAAAGAGAATTAAATAAATCTTTTTGGTTGGCAACATAAATAAACCAATGACTGAGTAAACCTGGCAATACATTAGCATTTACCCACAGTGGCTGTAAAAAAGCCAGCTAGCTTTACCCTAACTAACTAGCTAGCAAGTTCGTTAGCAGCTATTTGCCGGTAGCTGAAACTGTCTTAGGTCACACAGCACAATGAATGTGTCTGCACAGAAAAATCCCACAAAAAATAACTACGTAGAAATTAAAGGCCAACTTATCGCTTACCCATAAATTTAAGATGTTTTAAGATTTAATGTTGGATCCATGAATGCACGTCTTTAAGGACTCCAAACACGGTTCTGTCCACCAGGGTTCATCGCCTCTGCTGTCGGCTCCTTCAGCAGCTCAGAGTGACTCTGAGTCAGAGCAGAAAGAACTGCCATCACCAGCCTGACACCGTGTGTGTGTGTGTGTGTGTGTGTGTGTGGGTGCTCCTCCTTCTGTTTATCACTCCGGGGTAATGAGGGGATGAATTGCAGCGTCTGATTTGCTCGCAGCAGGAGAGCGGCGACTCGGTCCTCCAGAACCGCTAACTCAGGCTGCAGTAAACCCGACGGGTCGCCGCTGAACGGCCGGAGTGAGAGCCTCTACATGAACCAGCTCACAGATAAAAACGGATCTGAGACCCACAGATGATTGATTTTCCTGGTTATTCAAGGACAAATTATTATCTAAAATGTACTTTTTTAGTTTTACTTTGATGCTAGAAATCCTGAGTCCTGGACGGTTTCGGTCAGGCTGTGTATCGTCTGTGACGGTTCATCCCAACTTGACCTCGTTTTGTTCCTTCTTGTCTTTCAGGAATCGTTCTGGCCGACATCATTGAGAAGTACTTTGTATCGCCGACTCTCTTCAGAGTAATCCGACTGGCCCGGATCGGGCGAATCCTGCGCCTCATCAGAGGAGCCAAGGGCATTCGGACGTTACTGTTCGCCCTCATGATGTCACTTCCTGCCCTCTTCAACATCGGGCTGCTCCTCTTCCTCGTCATGTTCATCTACGCCATCTTCGGCATGGCTAACTTCGCCTACGTGAAGCGGCAGGGGGGCATCGACGACATGTTTAACTTTGAGACGTTTGGGAACAGCATGCTGTGCTTGTTCCAGATCACCACGTCTGCAGGGTGGGACAGCCTGCTCAGCCCCATCCTCAACAACTCCCCCGAGGAGTGCGACCCCCACCTGCCCCACACCGGCACCACCGTCAAGGGCAACTGCGGGAACCCGTCGGTGGGCATCACCTTCTTCGTCACCTACATCATCATCTCCTTCCTCATCGTGGTCAACATGTACATCGCCATCATCCTGGAGAACTTCAGCGTGGCCACGGAGGAAAGCACCGAGCCGCTGAGCGAGGACGACTTCGAGATGTTCTACGAGGTTTGGGAGAAGTTCGACCCAGAAGCCACGCAGTTCATAGAGTACTCCAAACTGTCCGACTTTGCAGACTCTCTTCTGGAGCCTCTCCGCATCGGCAAGCCCAACAAGATCAAGCTGATCTCCATGGACCTGCCCATGGTCAGCGGAGACAAGATCCACTGCCTGGACATCCTGTTCGCCTTCACCAAGCGCGTCCTGGGCGAGTCGGGCGAGATGGACGCCCTCAAGCAGCAGATGGAGGAAAAGTTCATGATTTCAAACCCTTCCAAGATTTCCTACGAGCCGATCACCACAACTCTGCGGCGCAAGCAGGAAGAAGTGTCGGCCACCATCATCCAGAGGTGCTATCGGCGCCACCTAGTGAGGCGCCAGATGAAGGCCGCCTCCTACATGTACCGTCAGTTCACCACGCCCCGGCACGACCACAGCGAGGGCGAGGAGGGAGGCGAGGTGATGTTTGGGGAGGACGCGCCTGAGAAGGAAGGGCTGATAGCCACCATGATGAAGGAGAACTACGGGTCCAGTCTGCTGGGGGTGGAGCGCTCCTCCACCATGTCCTCCACCTCATCGCCGCCGTCCTACAACAGCGTGACGCGAGTCACGTCCGAAAACCTCCAACCGCTCGCTGCCAAGACAGAAACGGCCGATGACAGCGACGTGAGAGAACAGTCGCAGGCTGAAGCCCACAGAGAGACGGAAACAGAACCTTAGCAGGAACCCAAAAAGAACAAGTTCTGATTTTTACTGAATGTACCGAAGGATCGTCGGATCAGCTGGGAATCGGAGCCGGATGCTGAAGAGAGGAAGATTTACTACCTTTAGTCTTGTTCCCCGGTGGAGACTCAAAGAAAAACCATTTTCTGAAAGCAGATTATGAAGAACCACCAACAGACGGAGGCTTCATCTGAGACGTCAACCCAGAGCAAAACACCACAATAAGGAGCTTGGTTCTGTTGGTTCTGTTGTGTCGGACTCTGACCGGGTCAGATCGGTTATATCATTTATCGTCTCGGGGTCGGGAGGGTCCGCCTCCTTACCGGCTACCGGACGTAGGATCGGCGGATCCCGTCTGCGTTTCGACACCTGAAGGGTTTTCTGGCTGAGGCCTGAGAGGACAGCAATGCTATTTAAAGACCTTTTCGTAGTAAAAGTATAACGTTGTTGATGTTCCAAGTCTTTTAATATCGGTACAATTATTACTATTTTTTATATTTTTTAGAGTAAGTTAAAAATAAGCCTTCGGAGTGGCGCTCGCTGAAACGAACCGTCTGGTAATTGAGAGATGAAAACCTCAAAACCCGAAAAAAAAACTTTTTATTTTCTTTTTGGGCGTTTTTTGCACTTTTGAGTTTACATTTAGCTGTCACTTTACTGCGCCGTCAGTAAACGGTTGGGTTGCTTTTCTTCTGCTCCGACACCAAAAACTGAACGAATGCACAAATGAATCCCAAACTCCCGATTCGCCTCGGTGATGAAGGTCCTGATGAGCCCCGACCCGCCGAGCCCTGGGTGATCTGCCAGAAAGTCCACCGAACGTCTTACCGATCTGCAAGAGGAGACGACTGGCAGCGGCTCGTTTGTTGCCGAGGTAACCGATGATCGAAGCCTCTGTCAGATCTGGCTGACATCATCAGGTGGTCTGACGGGAAATGACCTGAACTTTAGGATCCGTCTTTCTGGCAGATCACCCGTCGTCATTAACTTTGTGTCGGTCTGAGTTCGGCTCGATGCGACGTTTCGTGGTTTGGCAGCCGGTTCCGACCCGGATGAGAGCTCAGGATTTTACTGCATTCAGTTTGAGACAAAGCTGGATGTTGATCTCATCGCTGGCGCTGCCAGCAGCGTCCAGGAGAAACTCTGGGTTTGTTTCTTTATTAGCTTGTTGATTTATTTTCCGAGGCAGATTTTTAGCTCCTATAGATTTTAGCTCTTCAATGCAAAATTTTCTACAAGAAGCTTCAGGTTTGATATGTAAGTTTGAAACAGAAACACTTTGTCTCTGCACAAGCATCTGCAGCCGGAGCCACTGACGGTTGAAAGGCTAAAGTCGTCTTTAAGTTTTGTTTACCAGGATGTTTCTACCTTTTTGGACGTTCAGTTGATCTTCCTTTAAGGATAATTATCCAGTTTGTGGGTTGGGCTGTAAAATCCTCTCTGCTGATGCCAAGCAGCTTCAGCTGAAGGTTGAGTCCTGTTGCAGAAACACATTGATGCTCAAACTTCACTGAACTAAAACACTAAACCTTACCAAACATGTTGGGTCTAAGTTGTAGTAAAAATGTCAAAGTACTTGAAATAAGGTAAAACTAACAAGTAAGTTTTCATCCAGGTAAACCAGCTTGTTTCCAGTAAATAAATGACCTAAAACAAGCTCTTATATCCTTCTGAAATGTTACTTTTAAATTAGTTTTGCTTTATTTCAAGAGTGCAAAGATATTTGAACAACAAACTGGACAAAAATACTTTAATAATTTGTGCTTTTGGAGTTTTGTGGGATCAGTTTGGGTTTGCTGGTCGTGAAGGAAGAATCAAACAACGCTGAAGAACTGGACGCCGTCCCACAGCAGTGCGTGACCTCAGCTTCAAGCACCAAACCAGAGGTAATTACAGATGGACTGGTCTGGTTTTGGCACAGAGGATTTGGTTGGTTTTTCTGGGCCAGAACCCAAAAACACGACTGCTGCTCAACCCATACATCCGTTTCCTCACAGATACGAATCCATCTAAAGATTTTATCACCAAAAAGCATCATTAGAAAACAAATGACCAAAAAACACAAATTTATTAACCTTTTCTGCTGAGATATCAGAACAAAAACCCAAAACATCAAACCTTCTCAGGGGAACAGAGCTGCTGTTTGGTCTGTTTGGACCAGTTTGTTCCGGTTTGTTCCGGTTTGGTCCAGTTTGTTCCGGTTTGGTCAGTTTGGTCGGTTTGGTCCAGTTTGTTCTGGTTTGGACCAGTTTGTTCTGGTGTGGTCAGTTTGGTCGGTTTGATCCAGTTTGTTCCGGTTTGGTCGGTTTGGTCGGTTTGGTCCAGTTTGTTCTGGTTTGGACCAGTTTGATCCAGTTTGTTCCGGTTTGGTCCGGATTGGTTGGTTTGGTCGGTTTGGTCCAGTTTGTTCCGGTTTGATCCAGTTTGTTCCGGTTTGGTCGGTTTGCTCGGTTCCTCGTTACAGAGACGCCTGAATGAAACCGGTCTGTGGAGCGGATGCTTGTTCTGAGGCATAAACAGGCGGGTTAGTTGGTTCTCCTGGTTCTGCAGGTTTTTCTTGGACACTGGAGTCGTTTCTGCTCGGAGGTTTGAAGTTTTTATTTCACCGGTTTGGAAACGGTCTGCTGGTTTTCTAAATCTAAATGTCCATAAACGTTTCTTTGCTTATTAATTTATTTCTTATTTATTTTCTTGCTTCGGGTGGAAGGACAGCTGGATGCTGAGCGACGCGGCTCCTTATCTATTTGCACAAAGAAACTCAAACAGAGACGAACTGCTAGAGCAATAACTGTTTGCTGGAACCTTGCAGGAGGTTTTGTAGGTCCGCTTTGACTCGGACGCCTTCCGGCCGGACAGGATCCACTTCGACACTTTGAGCGCCGCCCTGAGGAACTCCTGTGGCGGTGCAGCACTGATATGGTGTGACTGTGGTCTCCAGCCAATCCAACATGGCCGACAGGAAGTGGAGATGTTTGATGAAGCTGTACAGCTCCGTCTGAGGATCTTTACTAAACGACGCTTTAATAAACACATTTTAAATACGACACAAAATGAACAAAAAGGTTTTACTGGCACCGTCTGGACTCTATTTCTACTCGATCCGTGGAGGATAGATGACCATGTAATGAGGTAAAAACACTGCTGAACTCTGCTGAGGCGTTTCAGGTTGCAGTTGTGCTGAAGGGCTGTTTTCAGTAGCAATAGACCCAGAGTGTGCCTGGATACATGAAGCCAACACGCCAAGCCATGCTTTCCATCCACTGGCTGACTGATGAACTGACGTGTGGCCTGCTGGGTAACGAGTTAAAGCTCACGGTTTTTAATCATTAGCAGCTTCACAGCCCCCCTCCCCCCTTCCTCCACAAACAGCTGAAATCAGGCGGCTGATTGGATCATTAGCTGCTGATAGTTTTACCTTCAGAAAGGTTCAGATTCACTGAAACCAACATTTTATCACTATGAGAAGTCCTCAGAACCCAGGATCAGGTCTGTTAATGATTAGCTGCTCGGTGGTGAAGCGGTTCATGGAGCAGGAGTTCAAATCTTCATGGAGGGCAGATGAGCATCAGCCCAGAAATATGATTATCAGGTTAGTTAGTTTCTGTAATCTGTGTGCAGAGACGTCTGTCCTGTGTGTCTGTGATGGACAGGAGACACGTCCAGGTCTGGACCAGCACCTGCTGCAGCAGACAGACTCAAAATAACATTGAAAAAGATGATCCTCATCGTTCAGCGCAGTGAGTCAGTTTATGTCTGTTCAGTCTGAGGAAGAGCAGATGGAGCTTTTATCATCCTGAACAAGCAGGTGGTGACAGTGGAGAGAAACTCGCTCCCTGCAGCAGGTCCAGATCCGGTTCCTGTATGAGGTCCAGATCCGGTTCCTCCAGCAGGTCCAGATCCGGTTCCTGCAGCAGGTCCAGATCCGGTTCCTGTATCAGGTCCAGATCCGGTTCCTGCAGCAGGTCCAGATCCTGTCCCTGTATCAGGTCCAGATCCGCTCCCTGCAGCAGGTCCAGATCCGGTTCCTGTATGAGGTCCAGATCCGGTTCCTGTATCAGGTCCAGATCCGGTTCCTGCAGCAGGTCCAGATCCTGTCCCTGTATCAGGTCCAGATCCGGTCCCTGCAGCAGGTCCAGATCCGCTCCCTGCAGCAGGTCCAGATCCGGTCCCTGTATCAGGTCCAGATTCGGTCCCTGCAGCAGGTCCAGATCCGGTTCCTGCAGCAGGTCCAGATCCGCTCCCTGCAGCAGGTCCAGATCCGGTTCCTGCAGCAGGTCCAGATCCGGTCCCTGCAGCAGGTCCAGATCCGGTCCCTG